CTAATATGCGTCCCTCTCCTACAGTGCCTGACATGTGGCATGCCATACTTGTAATCAGATGTCATTAGAACTGGAAATTTTCATTTGAGGGTTTGGAGGAGAAGGAGCAGCACCATTTTTGAGTGAAATCCATCCCTATGGTAGTGTGCACACGGGAAACTGGTAACGTAGACAAGGGAAGGCACAGTCTTCCCAAAACTGCTTACGTGCCCATTCACTGGAGAGGGCTGGGGCTGCAGCACGGCAACCCTGGCCCTCCGGGTGGTCAGAAAGGATAGGGTTGGGGGTAGACAGGGCTTGGCTTCAGGGGCAGGACCTCAGGTGGAAGGGGCGGGGTTGGGGCTTGTATTTCTCGGCTGGGCCTTCACCCCCCCACCCATGAGTGTGAACAAAGCCTGTGCACCAGGGGGTAAGTGATAAATAGACTTTGGGCTTTCCTACCAGATAGGACTTCCAGTAAGAACAAAAAGCGTAAGGAAAACAATTGCCAGTTCTGGGGCAGTAGGGAGAGAGGCTAGAGAGACACTGCAGTTCAGTCTATATTCATTTTCATAGCAAAAGTCACAGCTCCAGAGAAAACAAAGAAGCACGCTGACCTATGAGCACAAAAGACCAAAATGTATCCCTTGTATGATCCCACTACTGCTAATGGACTGCTACTGGGGTGGAATTAGCCTTGTCCCCAACTCTCTGCCTTGGATTAGTCAACTAACTAGCAAGCTGAGAAACTCAACTGACAGGATGCAACAAGGGCCAGGGTTTTCTCACCTACCTTAGGAAATATTTGCTCAGTTTCTTTTTGGTCCTTTGTGTATTTACTTGGATGAGGAGTTGGAGGTTGGCAGAACACCGATCTTGGTAGAGAAGCTGAGCTCTGTAAGATAGCAAAAGCAAAGTCAAGGACAGCGTGTCTTCATAATGGAGCATGAAAAGTAAATGTCTAACTGGCTACTTCATTTTGGATTTGTGTATTCATAATTTCTGTGACATTTTGATTGGTGCCTGAAAGGGGAAAAATAAATAACAGTACTGATTTGCTCCTTATTCAGGCAAAACCATATCTGGCTCAAAAGAGTCAAGCGTACTGAATGAAAGCACTTAAAATCCCTACCATGATATTTTTTATTTTGATTCACCATTATGGGAAGAGATTCTGATTTCAGATACACCAGCATAAATACTGAGTAAGGGCACTGATTTCAGTAGACTTGTTCTGGATTTACTCTGCTGTAGTGGACAGCACAATCTGTCCTAAGTCAACATTCTTGCCAGCAAGTTAAGGAAGTATGGATTGGATAAATGGACTGTAGGGTGGATAGAAAACTAGCTAGACTGCTGGACCCAAAGGGTAGAGATCAACAGTTCAATGTCTGGTTGGCAGTCGGTTTCAAGAGGAGTGCCCCAAGGATTGGTTTTAGGGCCGGTTTTGTTCAACATGTTTATTAATGGCTTCAGGGGGTAGCCAGGTTAGTATGTACAGGATAAACTTAAAAAACAACAAATGGTCTTGTAGTACTTTATAGACTAACAAAACATGTAGACGATATCATGAGCTTTTGTGGGCACAGCCCACTTCTTCAGATGATCAGAGTTTTATATCCCGATCATCTGAAGAAGTGGGCTGTGCCCACAAAAGCTCATGATATCGTCTACATGTTTTGTTAGTCTATAAAGTGCTACCAGACCATTCATTGTTTTTTAAGTTTATCTTTATTAATGACCTGGATGAGGGGATGGATTGTACCCTCAGCAAGTTTGCAGATGACACTAAGCTAAGCGGAGAGGTAGATAAGTTGGAGGAGTCATAGGATTCAGAGTGACTTAGACAAATTGGAGGATTGGGCCAAATGAAATCTGATGAGGTTCAACAAGGACAAATGCAGAGTCCTGCACTTGGGACGGAAGAATCCCAAGTACTAATACAGGTTGGGGACCAACTGGCTAAGTAGCAGTTCAGCAGAAAAGGACGTGGGGATTACAGTGGATGAGAAGCTGGATATGAGTCAACAGTGTGCTCTGGTAGCCAAGAAGGCTAATGGCATATTAGGGTGCATTAAGAGCAGGGGCGGATGAGAGTGCCTCGGTGCCCCGGGCAGCACAATTTCACAGGGCCCTCCCATTTGAAACAGCACATGCGCCGTGGTGTCACGGCGCAAGCGCGGGGCCCGGGGTAGCTGCCCCACTTGCCCTGCCCCACATC